AATGCTTTATTGAACATGGTAACAAACTTATAGAAGTACCGCACAAAGACTAACATCTAATACCCCAAGTTGTCAAACTTGGATTACTATTTGAATGCAAGGTATAGTTTTGGTAGTTTCGAACATCTAATATAAAGCAACAACTGGCTTCTGTCCACGCAAACTTTTAGCTGAATCATTTAAGCAATTATTTAACAACAAAACCATTAGTCTTCTGTGAAACAAATCACAAACTCATAATACAAACCATGTATGTCAGTTGTTTCATCTTAGTCTAAATACTTCTTAAAGATCACCTACACTATTCTGTGGATACTAGGATTATGTTGTGTATAATCATATTTACTGCAAGTTGGAATTAATCAAGCTGTTAGTTTCTATTCACTCTGGGTGAACTTACTTCTCTAGCCTTGTTACCTTGATCAGAAGAATCAGGTGTTTCTGGAAAATATCTTGCCATGTCCAACATTCTGCTATTCATCAGTTTCAGGGTTAAAAAAGTAGAAGTTTGAGGAAGGTGTATAGGACATACAATATTTGCAACTTTTGAGTTAGGCTGGTGAGAAATGTTGTTAGCATCTATTAAATCACCTAATTTATTGCAAGTCCTATTACTATGAGTGTAATCGAGACAGAGCCACCTTTTTCAAAACCCACTTGGAAATTCTTACCGTCAGTTGTAGGATGCCTTAGTTTCCCAAATGTGTCATACAAAATGGGGTTTAGTTTTTTTTTTTTTTTCACAATTCTGAATACTTCAATTAGCATAAACATTAACCTCTTCTAGGTTAGAACTCCAATATTTCATTTGCTTTGAAGGAACCTTTCCATTAACAGAACCAAGAGTGTGGTTAGTATATGGTTTCAAAATGATATGGCCTTTAATCTTTTTGTAGGAGGATCTGGCCCCCTCACCTTGTTTTGCCAGCAGGATTTGACGGTTACGCTCAATCTCCATGAGTGTTGCAGAGGTTTTGCGGCCAAGGGTACCATCATTGCAGCCAAGTGGGGTTGCTGAAGTAACCTGAAAGAAAAATTAAAATAACTTCTGAATGCAGGAAAAATGTGTGGATACTCACATTGCAATGGAAAAAAAAAAGGTCTTGTTAATTTATACAATAATATACTTAGAAATGAAATAGAGATATTAAAGACCATAAATAATGAATAATTTTACATCACCAAATCACCCTCTGCGGAGTGAAGCTCCGCAGCGCTTGGCAGACAATCACCGTGCGAGTACCTGGATTTGATTTTTTCCTTTTTTCAGGTAAGGCCACGTCACCTGTTACGCAGGGACAGTGCCTTCTACCCATTATCCAGTTCTTGGAGCTGGTAATCATTGAAGTAACAATATTTTATTGTGTAGCAAGTGTTTCGAGCTTTCGGCTTTGTTGGTGTTCACATGGTAGCAGTCATGTCTACCTCTGGAGAGGAGTCAACCAGCCAATCCTTGGGCTCTCCCGCTAACAACAGGAATAGCAGGAAAACCTCCAGTCACATTAAAGGATGTGGTTCTAGCAGTGGTTTCTCCTGACATGCATGGAAGAAGAGTCACACCACTCACCTGGCCATGCGACACATACAAGTGCAAACACAGTTGCTGTCTCACCACACATACCCACTTCACATAATGCTGCTTCCTGGGTCATGGTCTTGAAGGCTCTGGAAGAGCTAAGAGGTGAAGTGAACAAGTTGAAAGTGGACAGAATACCTACAGTTCATAAGCCAAGTCAGGTGAATGATGGAACAAGTATTTATCAAGGTACATAACACACTGGTTCACCAGTCAGTAGTTTTTTGGGATTTCCCAACATGGGTCTGTGAGGATGGTGCTTTTACAGAGCAGGCCCCTAGTGACAGTGTGATAATGCATAATGCTAAGGTTTTTGGTCCTCCAGATACTGCCTCTGGGGATAATGATCAACAGGTGGCCGAGATGTGAACTTTCTGTTTACCAACAGCATGTGTGGGGATGACTATAAACTCATTTGTGTAGATTAGGTTATTAAGAGACAAAAAAAGTTTCCATGCCTTTGCTCCAGTGGAATGTAATCCAGAGATTTTAGAGGCACTTAGAACTGACACAAAGAAGACTGATTTCTGTTAGAAGGAAGTCAAAAAGACATTCTGAGGGCAGCATATATCATCATGAAGTCACTTTTGGTACTAGATAAAGTTGCTCAAGATGAAGATCATCCCATGGTAGCCCATGAAATGAGCATGATTAACTGAGCATTAGCCTTGTTAGGTAATGCTAATTACAAAAATAACTTGGTGAGGCAATTGAAAAGGTGCCAGTCACTTGTTTCCTGTTTGGAGATGAGGTTTTATAATATGCAAGACAAATTGACGAATCTGAAAAATTGAAAACATGATCACAACAAAGAAATCTCCCTCTACATGGAGATTCCCTGGGGGAAGAACAAGATATTGGGGTTCAACTTCTTACAGGGGTTTCTCCAGGTTCCAGCCTTATGGACAGCTGAGGCAACAGCAATACACCATGAATGTTAGTCGATTACCCAAGGCTAATCATGAGCAGGAACAACGTACTGACGCACCCATCTCTAGCAGGTTCGCACCCTGTAGTGCAACACATGATTCATGGTATGTTTATTGTCAAGGAGACCTTATGAGCACAGGGTGTTTCTGTAGCAGGCATAGACATCATACTTGCTAACTGAAAACCAAGCACTACAAAACAGTACTTACCACATGTCAAAAGGTGGAAGTAGTTTTGTGCTAGATGGGACACCAATTTCCTTAATCCCACTGCATCCAACATCACAAACTTTTTGACTGAAACATTTCATAGGAATGTGGGGTATGACAGCATTAACACAACAAGTGGTGCTCTTTTATCACTGGGCATTGTAAGTGATGGATGCAGAGCAGGGAACCACCCATTAGTTAACAGATTTATGAAAGGGGTCTTCAAGCTAAGAACACCCTCAACCAGGTATAGTAAACATGGGATGTTCAACCAGTTTTACAGAAACTAAAATCAATGTATCCATTACAGGACTTGCCATTAAAGGATCTAACTTTAAAATTTGTCATGTTGATGTCACTCACTTAACCCCTTGATGACGGGTGAAGAAAACAAAAACAAAAAAAACAAAAACAAAAAAAAATCTACGCCCTGAAGATCAATGGCAACGCGCTGACTATGAGCACAGGAGTTTGGTACATCAAGCCGAATCACTGGCTCGTAGCCCTTTGGCGCACCACTGTGGCGTACAAGCGCACACCACAGATTGAGCAGTTTGTTTTGATGCCTCATGGCATGACTGTCAATACGTAGCTAAACCGGATGGCAGACTTCACACCTTTGTCCAAGCAGCTGCCTTTCTCCTTGGGCAGGACACAGGTGCTGCCTGGCTTTCTCTTTTCACACCGGAATAAACATCCGCCCTCCAAGGAAACTGCCACATAAAAGGGCACATGCATAAGATGAAGGCAGAGGGAGAGACATGGCAGATAGGCCAAGCCACATAGGGTCCAGCTCCACCAGCTCATCCTCCACCCAGGGACACAGGGGTCTCTTGGGGGTCTCATCTCTACCTTAACAAATAAATCAGCAAGCTAAGACCCCTTTTATTGACCGCCCTAGAACATCTCTCTTACGTTTACATCTGGTGGCTTTCGGTGGTCACTCGTTACATCTGTGACAATGGTGCTCCCAACATCTCTCTTAAGCTTACATCTGGTGGCTTGCGGTGCTCTCTTACGCTTACAGTGACCCATCAGGAAGAGGTTACATTTATTAGTGATTCATGGCATGAACATAAGCAATGACTATATTTCTATTCAGTTGGGTGGTAATATCAAAAAGTAGACATAACTTTATTATTAAAAAGCTGAAATTTCAGTCTTATTCTAACGATGACAGCATTTGTGTATGTAAAACTTTGTTAGAGTACATTGAAAGGACCCAAGATCTAAGGCAAGTTGACAAACACAAAGATGCAAAATTGTTTATGAGCTTTAGCAAACCACACAATGCTGTTTCCAAAGATACTACTGCAAGCTGGATAAGATCACTGCTTTGTATGTCTTTGTGTGTAGACACAACTAAATTCAAGGCAGGCAGTGTAAGGCTGGCTGCAGCATCAAACGCTAAGGCTATGGTGGTGCCAGTGAGATGTATCATGCAAAAGGCTGGTTGGCTGGTTGGTCATTCACAAAATAATATGATAATCAAATTGCAACAAATTCAGATCTATTTTAGCATGCGGTACTTGAATAAGTCGGGATCAATGGAATGTATAACATGTTTACATCTCATTTTTCTTATGCTAACATGGGTCAAAATAATTCTGTAAACTATTCTGTTAAGTATGTATTCATACAAGTTACATTGATTACATGTACATATTTACGTAATTAATTTTTCCATTGATTAGACTTATGTTCAATGATGGCCTTAATTGTTTTAAACTGAACTCAATTCTATACACTATCAGGATCCAACACTCACATGGCTTCAAAGCCTCATGAGAAAGCTCCACTCCACCAGAATGTGATTTGGTGATGTAAAATTAAAAAGTACATGAGACTTACCTTAGGTCAGTTAAAGTGTATATTAATTTTTATGAAGCAAATCACTTTTCACAATCCCACTGCTCCCTCCCATTTCTAAGACATTTCAATAATGGAAAGTACCTTTATTTTTATATTATGTGGGTGATTATATACTTCAAAGTCTGACAGCAAGACATAGCTAAGCATATCTCATGTGAAAGCTCCCCTCCATCAGAGGCAATTTGCCTCGTAAAATTACAAGCACACTTCAACTGACCTGAGGTAAGTCTCATGTACTTTATTAATTTTTCTTTATTTCACAAAAAAAACTTTGTATGACTTGAAAATGAAAAGCATTATATGATAAGATAAGTATATACATTGCATTTTTGTGACCCTCTACATGCCAGACTATATATATAAAAATGGCATATTGCAGTCTATGAATATTTCTGCATAGATTTTTCATGGAAAAAACAAGAATAACTTTTATGTAATTCTTTATCTGGATTATACAATCATAATTTCTAAATAATAACTTACCTGATGTATTCTGTCTAAATCTTCCTGTGACCTGTCAAGAAACTGCAATCTAGCAAGACGTTCAACTAGCTCTGGAGCACCACTCTGAAAAAAGTATTTAGATTAACTTTACTTTCTGTGCCATGCAGTCATTTGGGATTTGAATTTTCAGCTTCAACATCAAACAGATTTCTGTCTATATACCACAAGCAAGTGTAGCTCAGTGATATCCATAGTTTACTGACCACTTCTAAAGATAATACATATACAATCTAATGATGTGCACACTGCATATTATAGTAGTGTGATCAACTTCTTAACTCAATGTGCACAGGTGAAAAGACTACAGTGCCATGCCCACTGCTATAAGAAGTTTAGCTACTGTCTTTACATATAGATGGCTCTACAAGTAGCTATTAGTCTTATCCATCTCATCTGTTTACTCCTTTCCTTCATTTTTTGAAAGCTTCATTTATATTATTTTAATGTCTTTGTTGTTATTAATCTTTTAATAACAATTTAATAATCCTAATATCAATAAGACTGATGACAATGTCAATATTAAGAGTAATGGAAAGAAAAACTTATTTTCCTGCCAATTCAAGGAATGGGGAAATCAGGATTGGTCACTAGGGTCAACTGACAGACTCCTTGATGCTGAGTATATGTGAAGCCATCTGTATGTAAAAAACTCACTAAAACCAGAAAGTAAATAATCCTGCTGACAGTGGATTAACAATCATATTTCATTTATTATGGCCATAACTTCTTCCAGTTTGCTGAACTTATTCTAAAGGTCCTATCAACATAATAATAATCAATATACTATCAATATTTACTTGTATTAACTGTTTACCTCCAGATGGCATGTATGTCATGCCATGCTGAGAATGGCCATCTTTCTGGGGACACTTCAGTCATGCTTCTATTGTATTAGTCTAATCACAGATTATAGCCCTTCCATCATGTAGAGTTTGCATCACCTGGACTTTTTTGTGCCTACATGACATGAAAAGATGTATATCAGTTGCCTAAACATAGCATGCACTCCTATATTTAGACACAATCCTGGAGTTTTGCCTTTTCACATTTTTGCTCGCCCAGAGGCATTTGGTTAATATAATACATACTATCATATATCTGCCAAAATTTCTTGTTGTCTCTTGAAATATCAGCCATTAACCCATTGCCGCCAGGGAAAATGAACAAAAAATGGGGAAAATGCTGTGCCTATTTTCTATATTTTTTTTGTGAAATGTTTGCCCATAGATGGCTCTGTAAACGCCTGATTTGAAATGGCGGGAAAACGTATTTTTCACTAGTGCCATGAATATCGATGGTGTTATTTTTATCATAAACATTATAATTTTTATAATATTTTTTAACATTAGTAACAGCAAAATAAGATAACATAAAATATTTCGTAAATCAAAGAAAAGGGTGAACGGGAGAGACAGGCAGTACTTGTAACTGGCTCATTGGTGATTTAGTACAAGTGTAGTCATCTGTGTGTGAAAACAATCAAACAAGTAATCTCAAAGTGGGCATGGCATGGCATGCCCATCGGGAATGTGTTAACCATTTTGTAAAAATAAAGGAAAAAATACACTGAAAACTATTGACAATCACACTACCTATTAATGCACTGTGTAAAAGATCTGTTAATTAGCACTACATTAATAAATGAAAAGAATGTCTAGGGAAGGTAGGAAAGCAAATCACCAGAGGCTGTACCTCTTCTGTGTCAGACGAGCAAGCAGGTGAACATTGGCCATTGGTGGGTGTGAGGCCTAAGCGTACCAGTTCTCCGAGACGGCGGTCTGCAACAGTCAGACGTCCTCGCTCCTGCAACCCAACACCCATTTAGCCAAATAGCATTCTTTAGCACACCAATGCCATATTAGAAATTGCCATCACATATTTGCAAGAAAAACTCCCTTGTGGTCGAACTGTTGTTTATACACCATAACACAATGACACTTTAAGCTTGCACTGCCTCTTCAGCTTAAAAAAAAATAGAGCTGATGAAAGCTGCAAATGCAGAACATAATCTATTACTTTTCTTTCAATAAGAAGCACCTGCACTGTAAAAGCAATTTAAGCAATATTTTAACTTAGAACAACTATTATCCTAAACTTCTAAACTAACATCTTAATTATTATTTTACTTACCACAACAGATGTTTCACAAAGGGTATTACTTTTTCTTATTATCAATTTATTTTCAAAACCTAAAATACTATACTAAGTTACCTAATATATAAAATACAAGTTGCAATAACTCTAAAGAAAATACCTAACATTTTTGATAAGTAAATGAATACAACATAGAGGATTAAATCAAATAATACTCTAAAGTGAAACAAACATCATACAATATGTATGACTGCATTCTTAACCCAATGGCGCTGGGGAAAATTAATAAAAAATGGGAAAAATGATGTGCTCATT